AACGTGTTCCAGAGGCAGCATGGGGGCCATATGTGCTGTGTAATGTAGTAGGAAAATAGAGGCCCTTTTAATTAGACCCTAAAATTGCTTTTTTAACACTATTTTTCGGAGGTAGAGAATTGTATGGTTCTCTGTCATATAGATTCACGCTATACCACCAAGGTTTCTTTTTAATTAATACACAAATAAAGGATACATAATGGGTTGCCCAGAGATGGCACATTTATCCTCACTAATGAGGGTACGGTGTGAGGATGCTCACTTCTTGCCTAAGGCTATGCTGTTTTGGGTTCTTCATCCTGTAATTGCAGAATGAAATAGTTTACACTGGCTTTTGTGATTGGGAAATGGAGAAACACATTTTAGGAGGTTAAAAAATCCACTTGAATATGGCATAGTTATAATTTCCTGTTCACGTCAAGCCTTTTAGCATTTTCTGGATGCACGCTTTCTGTCTGCCAGTATCCACCCCAGCCCCACCCCTAATTCCCCGAAGAAGACTCTTTGGTTGAGAAGGATTAAATAGTAAGAGTTCAAGCCACTGGGATTGACCAGTGAGACATACTGACCCAGATGCCTGAAAAAGAGATGAGAAAAAGTGAGCGGTGATGGCAAATAAATGTTGGGACGGCAAAATCCACCTCCTCAGGCCTGGAGCCATAGGCTTAAAGGGAGGCTCGCGTGAAAGCTTCTCTCTTAGGCCCTCTGTTAGATATAAAAATGAGCAAAAACAAAACTCCGCCATCAGGCGCTGCATCATCAAGCAACTGAGACGGGATGGATATAAATAACTGAAATATAAGGTGGACCAAGCTTAGCCGAGAGAATGTCAAAAACTTCCTGGAGGAGGTGGAAAATCCAACTGGTAGCAAGGTTTAGCAAGACATTGATTTCAAAATTGGGTTCCTTGCATTCAAGACGGGGTTTTACTTTATTATGAGGTTTGTTTGTTTTTTAACATCTTTTCCTTGTTCCCTGTGTTGTGTGCATACTGCAGTGCAGCCCAGGGAAGGAAGTGCTCAGTGAGAGGCAGGGAGAGGAGAAACTCAGATCTGGGAAGGTCAGTGACAAACCAACAATGGAAAATGGAAGCTAAGTGCAGAGATCTAGTGGTTCACTCCATGAACCTTAGTGTAGGGGTGTCCTAGAGTCCTGTCATTCCGCACATGCACAGAAATTTCACAGTCGGAACCAAAATAAATCAAACAGAACGTCTGTTCGCTATTGATATGAAAAATATTAAATTTTCCTCCTTCTGGCTGGAAAGATCTATGATGTAAGTTTATTGACATGAAATTATAAATTCTAGTAACAAAGGAGTTAATATAACAACTTACTTGCTTTTGTATTAATATAAACTGTTGTTTTTTGTTTTAAAGTTTTTATTTATTTATTTATTTGAGAGAGAGAGAAAGCACGAGGGGGAGAGGGAGAAGCAGACTCCCCACTGAGGAGGGAGCCTAATGCAGGACTTGATCCCAGGACCCATGGATCATGACCTGAGCTGAAGGCAGGTACTTCACCGACTGAGTCACCCAGGCGCCCTGTTTTGTTTTTTTAAATGGTGATTACAGATGTGGCTTACATAGAAGACAATTCCTATAAAGAGACTGGATTGAACTGAATTTGTACAATATCTAGCTGATACCTATCAACACAAAGTACTGACAAGAAGACTTTATTAGAAGGGAAGAAACCTGTGGTCCAGTTCTAGTTCTGCCCATTACGGACACCATGTCCTTTGAGAAAGTACCCAAACTTTAATCTGAAAAAATGAGCCTGACATTTATTCTTCCCTTTTTACAGCAATTTTTTGAGGGTTAATAGAGATATTTTATGTGGAGGTGTCTTAAACATTTGCACATTAATATTCAATTAAATAGAATTTCGTGAATAGATGCTTTGAAATGTTAAATTTGAAATGTTAAATTAATAACAAGCTGCAATAAGCCTCTTACAACTCAGCAGTCTAATCCCTTTACAAAGTAAAAGACCTGATGTTCAGGAATTTCAAGTTAGCAATGTTTCCACTTACCTTGGTTTCTTGCTGGAGTTATTTTATTGGTATAACTATCTCATCCAAAAGAATCAATGGGGGTTTCCAACAAAGTCACCTATATTGAGTCACCTATATATAAGTTAAGCCTCCTTAGGTAAACATGATCAGTTGAAAACATCTTTGGAATTAAACTATTTCAGATGGACATATGGACCAAATAGAATCAAATGTAGTTGATCATTTGATTCTCAAAATCCTTAGGAACTATGGCCCATTCATGGTCATTGCTAATCACCTTGCATCATGAACACATTAGTCTAGACACTTCAATCTCCACCTAATTTATCTCTTTTCTGATTAACATCATTTTATTTTGGAAATGAATTTCCAGAGGTTCTTTCTAGAGCTTGGGCAATAGAACATTTGCTTTCATTCTCTGAATGAAAAAAAAAAGCTCAGATTATGTATTCATTTTTACTAAATTTACTTTAGTTAATCTGCTCTTAAAAAGCAATTAAATTGCTCTATAAAAATTTCATTTCGATGCTTGTTTGCATTTAAGTTTCTTACAAATTGTGTTATTCAGGGATTGTAGGTCAGAATCTTGCTCAAAGAGTTTTCAGCTTCTTGTTACTAAATAGATGGAATTAAAATATATATAGGCTCTATTTCAGTAGTGTGTGAGTTCAGTTATTCTTAGCAAATCTTTTTTTTTTTTTTACTATTTTTCTTTCAAAAGAGTCCCATGTTAAGGAAATACTTTCAAGGTTTATTTAGGTACCTTATTACAAAAAAAGATGTGGTGCAGGAGAGGGAAATTATTGGAAAAGAATCTCACAAAATCAAAGGTAGAGAAAACAACTAGGCTTCAGAGAAACCAAAGCATGAACGGGAGAGTCAGTTGGAGCTCAGAATGCACCCTGGATCTCATGCTGGGCTTGCATGGGCTTGTATCTTCACTCCCCGCTCCCATATAAATTATTTTATTGACATATAAAAGTCTTAAGTGTACAGTTCAATAAGTTTTCACAAAATGAACTCACCAGTGAAATCATCATCCAGACTAGTAAATAAGATTGTACCCACAGTGCTGTCCTCTCCAAAGGTGAACTTTGATCATAAATTAGTTCTGCTTGATTCTGAATGTCCTAAAAATGAAACTATGTTCTATGTAGTCTTTTATTCCTGACCTCTGTCACCCAATATTATATTTGTGGGAGTCATCCTTAATGTTATGTTTAGTTTCATTTGTTTTCATTGCTACATGGTATTCTTTTGTACAAATATGCCACACTTTATCTTTTCTACTGTGGTTGGAAATTTGGTTTTTCATTTTTCCCTATTAAAAAAAACTGCTCCTGTACACAATCTTTAACTTGTCTCTAGTGCACACACTTGTGCATATCTGTTGGATATATACTTTGGAATAGAAATCCTTGATCATAAGCTATGTGCATATTCCACTTTAGTAGATCCTGCTAGACAAATTTACAAGGTAGGTCTACAAACAATGTATGGCTTTTCTACTTGCTCCACATTCTCCCAGCAAGAGAAACACAAATTAAAACCACAATAACATGTTACTATACTATAAAATTATATTGTATTGTATTATATTGTATTATATATTGTATATTAAGTATAGCGTTTCTCAGGTCCAAAATTTTCACTTAATTTCTTTGATACAGATTCCCTTTCTCAGAGGAAAGTCTCCATCTTGTCATCTACTTTTTGAATCATTATTTTTTGGACTTTAAAATAACTTATCTTAGTTATAAATATAAATATATAAATATTTACATAATATAGATAAATATGCAAAAAACTATAAGTTATTTTATTTTAAAGATTTTATTTATTTATTTGACAGAGAGAGAACAAGCAGGGGGAGCGGCAGGCAGAGGGAGAGGGAGAAGCAGGTGCCTCACGGAGCAGGGAGCCGGATGTGGGGCTCTATCCCAGGACCCTAGGATCATGACCCGAGCCGAAGGCAGATGCTTAACTGACTGAGCCACCCAGGCACCCTTATAAGTTATTTTAAAGTCCCTGTGAGATAACCCAAATGTCTAGATAATCTATGGTTCTATTATCAGCTTTTTCTGTTGGTCCTATCTCTTGTCGTGCCTTGTAAATTTTGATTGAAGGCTGGAATTTTTAAGAAAAATTGAGAGGGTTTGGAAACAAATATGGCCTTCCTCCAAGAGAAGATTTTCTTTAGCTTCTTGCAGAATGTTAGAATGGAGTAGATCAGCTTTATCCAATTTTACCCTAAATTGGTTTGGGACTGCATTTTAGCCTTTATTAAAGGACTGATCCATTTAGTTGTTCGGATGTCCCAACTGAAGGCTGAGCTGTTTATTAGGATCTTTTGACTTTGGTAGGCTCTTAGCTCCAATTTTTATCTCTCAGCACAATGAGACTACTGGTAACCAAGGTTTTCAGCCTCTTGGCAACTGTTTTCTGCTTGGTCCCCCAAGGTCTCAGTCTGTTTGATTTATAAATGACAAATGCTTCTGGGGAAAACAGCTTAGAATGTCAGGTTTACTTCTCTGAGCTTCCCCTCTCTTCAAAATATTGGCCCTTCAACCTTGAGCTGCCTTGCGAGCCCTGCACATCTAAATTTTACTTCCAGTTCCATGAGACAATGAACAGCTATACTCAGCTTCCACCTTTTTAGTCAACTCCTTCTGCTTGATTTAGTAGTATGTCACCAACACTGCTTATGAATCAGCAAAAGGATTGAGGCAAAAGCAGTATGGAGTGGCATGCTTACCACAGTGAGTCTCTCTTCTCCCAGAGATGGTGACCCATTAAGCACTGGCTATTTTAATAGCTTAGTAATATTTCAAACAGATTACTATTGTGTTTTGTCCAGTTTTTGCAATTGTTTTTGTTATAAGGATTGGTGTGCTACAAATCAATTCACCACCACTAGGAGTATCAGAATTCCTGTCTTTCATGATCTCTTCCACTATATATGAACATTTTCTCCTTTTTCTCAGTTTTGGCTGAAAATAGCTTCTCTGGAGCCTCATGACTTCCAAGTTCAAGACTCAACATTGAAGTAAGTTTTGTGTGTCAGTTGCAAATTTTCAAGATGAAATTTAGTTGCTTGCGTGTTATCACTGACACTGGGGTGTATCATTTAGCCTATTACCTAAATTACAGGGAACTTCAAAAAAAACATGCTCTAAGAAGTGGTAGTGGGACTTGAAGAAACAAAGAAAGAGAATAATACGACTTAAAAGAAGCAGAATTGAACAGAGAAGAAAGGCAAACAGACATAAGAGACATTTGGCTTCAAGTTGTGTAGTCCAAGGGCGTATTTTTTGAGGGTTTCTTTCTTTTTTCCTTTTTTTTTTTTTACAGTAATGAGCTACCATGGTATCTTTCCAGATTACAATAGTCAAAAAATATATGTGTGTGTGCTTAATCTAGTTTTAATTGTACTTCTGTGACTCATATTCAAAACATCCTGACTAATGCATAATTACTCCACCTCTAGGTCAATGAAATTATCTGACACACTGCAGAGTAAGTAAATAATAAGACAATTTTGAATTTTTCTCACACTTATATTGCTCAGTTCTCTTGGTCCTCTTCATTAGGTCCTTGATCTTTTCACACAGCTGTGTGGTAGTTTGTAGTGTTTTCATTTCCTTTGCATTTCCAATTGCTAAACATTTACTTTAAGCAATGAGGCTCTCTCAGGTGGCCTTCTAGTATTTTCTGAACAATGTTGGCTTTCTGCCATGTCCATGTCACTCTGCCCATGCAGTTCCATGTTAGTTTGTAATCTGTGCACTCTGTACCTTAGTTCCTTAATATGTGTCCTGTGTTCATGTAGGAAAAGGTAGGGCCTTTTAAATCCTGTTTGGCTAAAAAAATCCCTTCTTATGTGGCTCCATTTGGAAAACAGAGAGCTCTTCATTGAAAACAGAGGATCTGTATAACACTGTGATACATTTCAACCCTGAAGAAGCTCAGAATATGTTTCTTATTAATTACATACTTTCTTTATTGGATATTTCCATAGTTTTTCCATACTGACTTAAATCCTTTTTTGAAATAGACCATTCTAAAAAGATAGTAAGTCATTTATAACTCTTATGGAATACCTTTGTTTATTGACTGAACAAATATTTATTGGATAAATCTTAAGTATCAGCCTTACTGGAAACACTGATGATAGAGCAATGAAAACAAAAGACAAGGTTCCTGCCCTCAGAAAGTTTACATCCTTGTAGTGGAAAATAAAAAGCAATGACAATTAAATAAATAAGTAGGCAAATGCATTTGAATAATGATTTCAAAAAATAAAATGTGTGAAGAAAATAGCATGATATAAAAGAAAGTATGGGGAAATACAAGATATGGTGGGAAAGGAAGAATGGTTTGAGAAGGTGGCATTCGATCAGATATTCAAAGGATTAGGTGTTACCCTTGCAAAGATCTGAAAATGACCCAGGTAGAATCAGAAGGTAAAAGCAAGAGCAAAAAAGCAATATCCTTGCGCTAACAAGCCTGCAATCATTCCTTTCTTTTGACACATATACCTTTGAATAGTATCCTGTCCAAATGAATAGTGCTAACTTGTGTAAGAAACACAACAATTCAGAAATAATGGTATGTGACTTAGGAAGCCAGGTCATCAGAGATATTAAAGCTTCCATCTTGCTCCCCTGGAACACTCATTCTTGGGGAGCCAGTTGCCATATTGTGAGGACACTCATGCAAACATGGATAGGAACATGTGGTGAGGAACAAATGCATTCTGCTAAGAGCCAGTTAGTATGAGAGGCCCTCTGCCATCAGCCATGTGAATTAGCTGTAGAGGAAATGAATCATCTACCACCAGGTAAGCTTCCAGATAATTGGCAGCCCAGACCAACTTCTTGACAGCAACTTCATGAGAGACCTCAAACCAGAACTTACCAGCTAAGCCACTCCCAAATTCATGAGCCACCAAAAAAAAAAAAAAAAAAAAGAGAGAGAGAGAGAGAGAGGAAAGAGAGAGAGATAATAATAAGTGTTTGTTGTTTTAAACCACTAAGTTTGGGATACTTTGTTACACAGCCAGAGACCACTAATGTAACTAATGAGTTTGGTAATGGAGATGTCCTGCTGCTGTAACAAATACCTAAATAGGCTTTGGAACCAGGCATTGAGAAGATGGAAGGGCTTTGAGAAGAGGAGAGTGAAAACCTCAAGTACCTTGAACAGACTTTAGGTAGAAGCCTGATGGCTTTTGAAAGGCTGATAGTGGGGACTCAAAGCAGAGTGAAGGAAAAGGGATCCTTGGTGTATATGGCAGAAAGTTTAGCAACGCTGTTATCTGCGGTCGTGTGGAAAGTAGAAAATGTGGCGAATCAAGTGATCTAGTTAAAGAGATTTCCGGGTGGGGTGGGAGGGATGGGGTGACTGGGTGATAGACACTGGGGAGGGTATGTGCTCTGGTAAGCGCTGTGAATTGT